CTTTGCGCGGTGCTTTTCCTCCCAGCCTGGTGGGTCGGTATGAATCTGGTCGAGGGACTGACTTACATGGCTTAGGGTCTGTTGAGGGTGTCGGATTGCTCCTCTGCTGATTGCTGTGGCCTCTGCACCAAAGCATGTGACACTGGCAAGAGTAGACACTGACCACCACAAGGACGGTCAGGAGTATGTTGATCGAAACGAAGATGATGGTGATGATGGAGGTGATACAGTTGATGGCCTGAATCTTGCATGACTTTGCACATCCCCACGATTCCCTTGCTACCCCTAATTTTAATAGTGCTCTCATGCAGGGGCGGCAAAAGGGCTTGCTCGAGTGTCCTAAAGCCTGCATGACCCCATAGCGATGCAACATTGAATTTCAGGGGTTGCGGGGAAATGGACAGCGCGACATGGAATATGTGCGATGTTGTAGGTCATGCAGGCTTTTGGGAATCAGCAGCAGTGGTGATGGTAGTGATGGAGGTTATGATGACGGTGGTGGTGGTGATGATGGTGGTGACGGGGCGGTGACGGTGACGCTGACCCTGATGATCCATGGAGGAGGTGCTCATTACGGTAATCGATGGTGGTCTTGATGACAGCAATACTAGCAGCGGGGTTCTGACCAAGATGTGCACGATTACAGTTGGTGATGTTGATGCCGGTACTGATGTATTCTGATGGCATGGTCCAATGCTGATACCAGAATTACACGAGTCTCAGAGTTGTGACTTCTCATGCGAATAGTTGTGCTCCTCATAAAGACGATAGTGCCGTGGGTTGTGCCGGCGGCGCGGCGAGCATGTAGTGATGGCCCTAAGCATAACCAACACAAGCTGGAAGACAAACTGGCCATCCTTGAAGAGCCAATGATACATATAATTGCTGCAGCTCATGATCACGTGTCATGGCCAGCCAATCAATTAGACAACTTCGCCGACGAGCACGGCTGACACAACGATTTCCCTTTCCCTGACGAGTAATGTGTCCATTGCGGATTTGTCACTGGTATGATCCAAAAAACTCTGGGACCTGATTCCAAAACCCTGGAGCAGAAAACCTAAACCTTGAACTCCCCAAAACTATCCAGATTCCCAAGGTTCAAAAACAGCTGTGGCCTTTGCTCTGGCATGTGAGACTCGTTCCAAGCCTGATCGATCCATGTACAATACAAGTTTGGAACTCGAACCCCGCGGCCGTCATGCAAGTCTTTTAGATGGTTATATACGGTCCTTGATACTGAGGAAGAGGGTTTGTGGGTATACTATACTAAAGGAACCCTGGAAAGAAAAAGCAATTGCTATTCCTTCAGCTGAACTCCAAGTGCTGGGACGGTCGACGATACAGCGCCGATTTTTTATCGTATAGTTAAGGTGTGCGGCGCTGCCTGTGGCGGGGGCAGCTCAAGCCGAAACTTCCCACAGTGCCGGGCTCCCCCCCAATCTGATGTGTCTAGGGTTGAAGGCTTAGAGTCTCAGAGTTTAGGGATTAGGGCTTAAGGGCTCCAGGAACACTCCCAGCTGCGATCTATCGAGGACCCATATATAGAGCCATGAAGCGTTACGAAACTCCTTGGGAATATGAACCAAAACTTATCAAACCCGATACTCCCTCTACGGCGAGTAAATGACACAAAACACATACGACTGCACAAAACAACAACCCAGGACATATCAAAACCCTGCAACACTACCACAGCACCCTGAACCAGCCCACAACCAACATCGAAACAGTCGAGCCGTAAGAAATATGAAGCCGATCTGTGCCAACAACCGCCTCAACACCAAAACCCCAAACCCCAAAACTCTGCCCCTTTGTGGACACAAAAAGCATGCTTACCAAGATCCCCACTCTGGCTTCCTTTCTCGCCCAACCTGGGAGTGGGCAGTCTCGTCAAAACGAATCTTGGAGTTTAGGCTTTAATTGATTTCGGGTTCTCCAAAATTTGCGGATTTGTGTCGTTGTCTTCGACATTGTGAACCCGAAGAGCCCCATGCCCCCTGGCAAGAAATAGATCTGAAATGTTAGGTACCAGGCCACCAGGCCCTGTCTACAAACGTCAGCAATGGCCCACTTTTAAGGGGTGTGGGGCTCGCCGGGCACTGATGGGAATTGACGCCACATGTGACACGAGCTGACAACCTGCTGATGCTCTTGTACCACGGAGGTTTATCCGGATCTGCGGCCGATGAAGGCTTGAGCATTCCGCTCGAGGGGTAAGAATGGCAATCAGCGACAACGACTACCAAGAAAACGAAAAAGGCAACAACTACCGCCGCCACCAGCACCGGCAGCAACAACAACAACAACAGCAGCAACAACAGCAACAACAGCAACAACAACAACAACAACCACGACGACGACGACGACAACAACAACAGCCACAACAGCAGCAACAGCAGCAAACAGCAGCAACAGCAACAGCAACAGCAACAACAACAACAACCACCACAACCACAAGCACAACCCCAACCCCAACCCCGACCCCAACCGCAACCGCAACCGCAACCGCAACCGCAATCGCAATCGCAATCGCAATCGAAATCACAACCACCACAACAACCACAACAACCACGACGACGACGACGACGACGACGACGGCCACCACCACCACCACGGCTGCCGCCACCACCACCAACACCACCAC